TATCGGTGTGACGGTAGTGTCTGTGCGAAGTGTGTTTTATATCTGTGTGTGAGTGTGTGCTGTGTTTGAGTGAGTGCTGTGTCTGTAATTGCTGCGTCTGTGTGAGTATTTTCTATGTATGCGTGTTGTGTCTGTGAGTGCTGTATGTGTTTGAATGTTGTGTCTGGTAGTCTGGTAGTCTTTGTTTCAGCTTCATAGCAAACGGGTCATCCCCATCTTTGCTCCGCTCCTGTGCCAACGAAAAACACACAAAATGTTTATCACAGTCTCTTGTAGAAAGATTGACAGGCTGCTGCCTCGGCATATCTAGCATACACACGCATTGAAGCATACAGTAGCCATCCGAAGTGCTAACACAAACAGTCCGACATAAGAAATGCAGTTCATCATTGATGGTAGCAGAAGACACCAACAGTTCAGAAGTTGAACACGCGATCATTTTTAATCACATACGGGCACCACCAACATTGCGACAACAGGCATCGCACCATTTTCTGAATCTACAATTCACACCACCACGTTGGTCCCAGTCGAAAAAAAACATTCCAAATGAAATCCGCAGATCACAGTGTCACGCCATGCATTCAACTCAGAAGCTGGGCGACGAAACTATATCTAGTCTAGTCTAGTCACATGTACAGCTGAAGAAGATAAACTCTTCATATGGGTTTCGGGGCCCATTTGGAGGGGGCGTGGGTGGTGATCTAGGAAGAGGATAAGACGTAGGTAATTGTAGAGAAGAAGGAGAAGAAGGATAAAAAAAGTGGGAGGAGAATGACTAAGAAGGTAAAAAACGAGCACATCGGCATACAAAACAACATAATCTCTGAAAAAAGTCATCACTCTGAGAGCTGCCGGTACAAAGTCCACCACTATCTGTAATACAAATCTATTGCACAGGAGGCAAAAACAACCAAACGCAATGCAAGCATCAGAGCTTGTCCCAGGAGATGAATTCATTATCTCCTGGAATTTCTAATAGCAACAGAGCAAGAAGCCCGTTGAGACAGATGACTGGGACAGGGGTTTGGGGTCATGACGGTAACAGCGGCGTGGTCAGTGGACACTACAGTGCGTTTCAAAAGTTGTACTCTCACTCTTTAACAATTATCTCAAAAATTCATCTACTAAACAATATGAGTTTTTGCATGTGGCCTACAATTTCCCATGTCCTTATGATTTTGTAATTTAAAATTGCACATAAGATGCTGTTTTCTCAAAGAAGCAAATTTCTTTGATCTTTGTTAGACTAATAAGTTTGTGTACCGCATAATAAAACATACAATAGATGACACACGCGTAGAGATGTTCGGAACTCACTTCACATGTGCAGCAATGCGTAGTTATTAACTTGACAGCCTATACACAATGAAAAACTGTTTTCATCTAACGCACTGGAGGCTCTTGTGATGACCAGCTGAGAGTGGGTAAAAAGTAAAGGTCCCTTTTCTACGCCTTTAGGCGTATAGTGCACATAGGGCTAAACCTATATTTTTATAGACCAATCGGCACAAGATAGGTGATGTGGTGAGCATCACGCCGATCGCCTTTACTTCCCGGGACTGCACCCGGTACCCACTCAAGGCTGGGTCGTCCTGGGAGTCAATTTCATTTATTTTAAGTCGGGCTTCGCCAGGGAGCGAACCCACGACCTTCCGATCCGCTTATAAGCGTCACATTTCTCCGCCACATACAACTCACGTTTAGTGAGACGCATATTAAGGCACCAAAGGTTGCGATATCTCATAATACCAAGCCTGCAGATTAACAACTTGTGCACTGGATAGCGCTGTTAACAAACAAACAAACAACTGGCACAGAAATAGGGCATGTATGTGGTGACCTGTTTGCAATGAAGTTGAAAGCTCTACTACTACAACCACCACCACAGCCACCACCACTCCATGATACTCCCAACTTGCAGTGGGGTTGTACCCGTGTGTTGTCCAGAGAGTCGTATGTAAGAATGTACCTTAGTGAAAGTGGGTAAGTGTCTGTGTGAGATACCTCACTGTAGCAAAAGAGAGATGTTGGTTTAGAGAGATTTGTCCACGAGTTGAAAGAGAGAGATGACCCAAGACGTTGCATGTCTCAAGTTGTATTTTGGAAAAACCGGACATCGTCCGCTTGGACATTTAATTTAACTGGCACAGAATAGGGCATGTATGTGGTGACAACCGTTTGCAATGATTTGAAAAGCTCTGGGCTACTACTACGACTTCCAAGGAAGACGTCAGGCCTAATTGATACTGACTGTGGCCATGTTTGTGTGTGTTGTGAGAGAGTGTGTATGTGTGGTGTGTTTTTGTCTCCTGGGTCCGCAGGTATTGCCCTCGGAGTACCCCTTTGGGGCAGAGCCCCCTGAGAGAGACAGTTAGCCCTCAAGAGAGGCAGGGGCAGAGAAAGGGCATTCCCCGCCAGAGAAGGAGGCTGTCCATCATGTGTTGCCGGCAAATAGTCTGCTTATGAGAGTGTCACCCAAGGAGTATCTGTGTGAGGCACATGCCTGTGTGCCCCAGACCGTGTGTCAGGTGTCCCGAGAAAGACATGGGCTGGGTATTTGTATGGAAGTCAGTGAGAGACAGCGAGAGGATGTTTTGGACAGAGAGTTACAGATTATGTTTCAGTGCGTGTGTGTTTGAGATACACGGGGATAGAATATATGTGTGTGTTTGCGATAGACGGGAAGAGAATATACGTGTGTCTTTGAGATAGACGGGGAGATCAGTTTTGTGTGTGTGTCGGGCGGTACGTGTTTGGGTGTGGCACAGAAATTCGGTCAAGGTTTTTCTCGTAAAAGGCGTATTGTGAATGGTCAGATGTGTGCTTGCTCCGTATGATCCCAACGTAAAGTTTTGTCCAACCAATTAGGCTTAACAACGAAACGATGGATAAGTCTATGCTGTTGTCGGTGTACCTCAGCGCGGTGACGACGACAGAGAACAAGAAATGAATGCATAAATGGTTGCTAGAAAATTCCCGACAGTTTAAAATGGTTGCTGTTGTGGTGAGGGGGGGGGGGGGTGGGGGACGACAAAGCAGACGCACTAAAAAAAAAGCGCTTATCTCCTCTGAAAACGGACTTCCCGAAAGGGAGCAAAAATGATACTCTTCGCCGTCTCGAAAACAAACAATGAAATTGTCTTTATACGACATTAAAAGTAATGTTACACCGGTTATTTATTTTTACGCGACGCTTTATGGCAAACGTGAAAGGGGACGGTGGTGATACATTACACAAATAATTGACAGAATACCTGAAATTGACTAGTTACAGACACACACATACACGCACAAACACCCGCACGCACACACGCGCACACACACACACACACATATATATATATATATATATATATATATATATATATATATATAGAGGAGAGAGAAAAAAAGAGAGAGAGAGAGAGAAGCGTTTCTGTGGTGCCGATTTTGGGCTATAACTTCCCCTCATGCCTGTGACTACAAATCACCGCGCCACTGAAATAGTCTGCTTTATGAAAGTGTTTGAGAGAGAAGTCTGTGTGAGTACATGAGAGAGAGAGAGAGAGAGAGAGAGAGAGAGAGAGAGAGAGAGAGAGAGAGAAAGACAAAGACAAAGAGAAAACAAGAAAATATTTCCAAATTGTCCGTCGTTTCCTGGTCTTATCATTTACGTGGTTTTGTCATGCAGATCCATTTCTATGCGATCACTTTATTTTATATCTTTAGTTATATATTTGAAAACTTGTTCGCTGGTGCAAACTTTTATGGAAACTTTCCTGTGTTATCTTTTCTTTTGTTTCGCAGAGCCTTGTACGGCAGGTTTATTCATGCATATTTTTTTTACAGGAGTACTGACACACACGTTATGTTATCTCAGTCGATGTCCTTACACATTGGGCATTCCCATGCGTGCTCGGTCCTCCGATGCAGCAGCCACCCAGGTTACTTCTACTAATTGTTTCCATTAAACAATTGTTATAATGTCTCCTATCTCGACCTCAAAGGCAGCATAGACGTGCTTCACCATGCTTTACTCCTATGTCACGCAATCGTGTTAGTGTCTGAGAAGCGTCATTATCCACCATCCTACTCTGTACAGGATGGATGATATTTGCTCTGTCCACGACTCTTGCTACAAGAGGCATGCGTGCAACATATATAATAACCACTGGGCTCAGAGTGAGTGGGAGCGAAAGGGGTGGGGGAAGGTGGGGTAGGGGAGAGTTCTACATCTCTTCTAAAGGGAGTGGGGTGGGCCCAGGGCTAGATTTATGCATTAATTGAAATTTCAATTTTCCCAAAATTTCCAATTTTATTAATATATATATTTTTTTTAATATTATCTCAGGCTTGCATTTATTCCAACTTGTTTTATCTTATTTAAACTTACTAAAATAACAAGTCTGACATGCGTCAACTTTGACCTTTTAACTTATATACTTTATAGTTTTGTTTTCTGAGATCAACTGGCGTTATTTAAAATGGTGGGGGCGTCAGGTATTTATCAACTTAGGTCCTTATCAAGTCTAAATCAAGCCCTGGGTGGTGAGTTAAAAAGTAAAAAGTTAAAAAAAACCTTTTCCCCACCCTCAGGTGCATTGGGCGTGTAGAGGTTGGCCTATATTGTATAGACCAATAAATACTTGGTGGATGATGGGGTCAGCGTCACGCCGGCGGTCTTTACTTCCCAGGACTTCACCTGGTACCCCCTCTAGGTTAAGCCGACCTGGAAGCCAAAGTCATTTTTAAAAAAAAAAAAGCTCAGTTTCGTCCCTATTTAAGTGTTTAATCATAATAATAGTCGTAATAATAATCGTGATAATATTGTGTATTGCAAATAAATATATGCTAAATCGCAAATAAAATAAATATTCATCTGAAAGAATATGTAATATCTGAGTAAATACTAATGTAAACAAATTTTATATTCCTAGTAATAAGATCCGCTCAAAACCTCCCCCCCCCCCTTCCCATGCCCCTACCCCCACCCCGTGCGCCTCCAAATTTATCTGCAGGGACTTAAAGTGTCTATAATGCATCGTGTCGTCAACTTACCTGCGATAGAAAGGACTCGGAGACTTCTCATCGAGAATATATGATGAAGGCCAAAGTCCCCGACCTGCACACACCATCGGATGAAGAGCCGGTTCAAGGACGTCATCGTGGAGATATATCCAATACCAACATCTGTCACATGGGTACACCTGTAAGTAGAACAGATGAAACTGCTAGAACAATTTTTTTTTAAAATATTTTTGGGACCTGTTCACGTTTTCCGGCCAATCTAACACTTTCTCAGGCTCATCTAGGTCAGAGGGGTGTCACGTTGTACTGCTTTCTTGATAAGAGTCTATCGTGTGACCTAGGCTCAGGCTCTGTGGGTGGGGGGGGGGGGGGAAATAAAATAGAGTTAGGGTCAGTTCTATATATTATAGTGTCGTTGAAAGCTGTGTAGTGTAGAACACGCGACATCGGCGCTGATGTAATTGGAGGCAAGACAACATGACACCTCTCTGACGTATAAGAGTCTGAGAAAGTATGAATGAAAGGTAAGTCTAAGACCAGCTCCAGCTGACATGCTTGGGTGTCCCAGTTTCAGCTCAAAATATTATTGGGATATCCCATTTTCAATTCAAGACAATATGGTCACCTTAGCATTGACGAATTCGTCTGCACTGACCCGTTGAATTTCAGCTGACACTTACTGGTTCCTGGTTCAAAGGACGCATTTCCGAAATAAATGGTAATTTAAAATAGTGAATTAGGTCTTGAGAATCTTCTTTGTCATTAATTAATTTTAGAATTGAAATTTAAAAAAAAAAACTTATTATTTTAGCTAAACGTTGGTGGATTGAGTGAACGTTAGTAAAGCCTTCAGGCTTATTGGGCATATAGGGCTAGACCTATATTTTATAGACCAATCGGCACTTGGTGGGTGATGTGGTCGACATCACGCCTTCTGTCTTTACTTCCCAGGACTTGTACCTAACACCCACTCAATGCTAGGTCGACTTGAGAGCCAAGGTCATTTAAAAAAATCTGTCTCTGTCAGTACCCGAACCCACGACTTCCGATCCACAGTTGAGCGTCTAGCTTCGACACCACGGCGACTCTTTTGAGTGTAAATTGCACACCCATTATTTACTTACTGATCTTCAGGTGGGGGGGGGGGGGGGCGCTTTCATAAAATACAGTCTCTTGTGAAAAGTTGTAGGTCTATCATATCTTATAATATAGTGGTTTGCACCCCCAACATCTAGATTCTTAATAGTGTTAGATAGCGATGCCTGGAGTCGGTGATAATGCAGTGGCAACATCTTTGCCTGTTAGTCAGAAAGTCTCGACTTCGTTATTCTTCTTCTTCTTCTTCGCCTTCACCAGCTGTAAACTCAGGCGGAAAGCTCTGGTTGCTCGTCCACTTCTGGACTGCAGTCCTGTTCCAGAACCTGAGTGTTGCGTGTGCATCTGTTTTACTGATATAACTCATTTGTATGCAGACTGCTGGTTCCTTGCCTCTCAGGCAGATGCACTCCGACTTCGAAGGAAGCTTCCAATTAGTCGACTCTTACGACATGTTTTTTGGGTAGGCAGGGGTCTATTCTTGTTTTTCCTACAATAGGGCCCCGGAACCCACACGGACTCTCGTTCTTTCAGAAAAATCTCGAAAACTCCAAAACGGATGAACATGATCACATATGGCCTAAGATTTGCTAGGTCCTTATAGTGTTATAATTTACATTTGCACAGGTGCTGCTATTTTTTAAGAGCGGCGAATTTCTTTGATCTTTAATTAATAAAATGGTTAACCCTACACAAAAAAATTATTAATGGTTTTTGCGGTTCAGTGTTGAATGGACGTTCCCATGTCGATAAAGTTTTCCTTGTCTTAAATTGAGTTTAAGATAACGTAATCTGCACGAACAGATCAAAAGGACAGTCGCTTCTACTTGCTGATAGTGACCACATCACCCACCAAGTGCTGATTGTTCTATAAAGTATAGGTCTAGATCTTTATGCACAATACGCCTGAAGGCGTGGAAAAGGGTCCTTAACCTTGATGTTTTTACTTTGATACTCACCTTTCCAAACGAGACTTCATTGTTCTATCACTGCAGTCCTGTGTACCGGGGCTAAAAGGTAATTGAGAGGGGTAATTGTGTCGAGAGGGTCGCACAAATTACCGAATTTCTAAGCTCCAGCGACGTGAAATGAGCGATGCTTCTGTGACATGAACAGGGACTTCAAGAGTTTAGACTAAGACCTTTGTTCTGACTTTCTATTACAGTTATACCAATCATTTCTTACAGTTGTGTTTCTTTTTCTGTCATCAAAACTATATCGACAGCATATCGCAAGTTGCCCAGCAACCGATAGTCCTGGCATACCATGTATCGACCTATTTACTATTTCCTAAATTCTAATAATTCTTCATTTGTTACCTCCCCCCCCCCCCCCACCCAAAAAACCCACCTTAAATAATAATAGAACACACCAGGCGTCTGTTCAAAGACGTTTCGTATAAATCAGTTAACAGTCAACATTGCTTCTTGACGCGTGCTTTGTTTTTCTGCCTTGTCGGGCTGTTCTGGGAAATTCAAGTGCAAATAATCAGAGCTGAACGAAATATTGACAACAGCTGACGTCAGCAGAAGTTAACTTCTGCATGTTAACGATCGCTGCAAGTCCGGACAATCGCTGCTTGTCCGGACAATCACTCAGCTGATTGCTGTCTCTTGCTGAGCTAAGCTGTAAACGGACATTATAGTGTGTTTCAAAACTCATGCCGTCACACGTAAAAAATATCTAGAAAACAGCTGTACGGATCAACACATAATTTGCATGTGGCCTTAAAATTCCCACTTGTATAATTTACAAGTCGGCTCTGTGGCTAAGTCGTAATGCGTGGATGCCGGGTTCAATACCCGCTGCGGGTCATGCGCCTTACGTTGGTTTCGACACTGGTATCAATAAAGCCGACCGTCCAGAGGCAATGGCAAACTACTGGACGTAAATTTGCCTAGAAAAACCACACAACAGCCAGGGGCTGTTGGGGTTCGTTCTATAACGTCTTGTAAAGTATACGCAACTAACCTAATAATTTACAATTAAGCAGATGCTCCTGTTATCTTAAAGAGGTAACTTACTTTGATCTTTATTTGAATAATAATTTATGTACCCCTGAAAAAATAGAATATACTGTAATTGACACACGTGTGGAAATTATTTTTAAATTGTTTAGTATGTGTGTGGTGATGTGTGGTGATGTGTGGTGATTATTTTAATGTTTAGTATTGTTTAGTGATGTGTGGTGATTATTTTGATAGCCTTTATCGCACTCAATGAAAACAAAATTCCGAACTCACGGGAGATTATTCTGGAGATGATTACCTGAGAGGGAAACGACTTCAACCTGCCTGTATTTCATATTTTTAAAAGTTCCTTTTACTCAATTTACTCAAGTTAATGTAAGCATGCTGATTGTTTGCTTTGAATCGGGGTATTTTTTTCAAATACTGCAAATAAAAACAAAATGACAACTAAATGTTGATTTTCATTTTTTTTTAAATACTTACAAGGACATTATCATCAACAGACTGCATGCCAAATGTCAACTTACATAGAATGATTACCGAGTTACAGATTTTTAAAGTTCAGTTGTAGCTGCATAAATGTAGTATTCTTTCAATGTCATTAAGTTTTATAGTAAACGGACATTACAAGCAGCACTATCTGTCAGCAATTATGCCATAATTTTTTTTATTTTTAAACGGACATTACGAAATGCAGCAAAGTGTATACCGCTTTTTAAAAATTATTAATCCTTATACTTTTAATAGGAAAAACATAGCTAGATATACTCTCTAACAGTCATGTCTTCTATAATATATATGTTATAGTAAATGGACATTACGAGCTGCAATATCTAACCGGAATTGCTCCTATATATATATATATATATATACATTTGTATAGTAAACACACATTACAAGATGCACAACGTAGCAGTCATACCTTCTGTGCTACATGTTTTATCGTAAGCGGAGATTACTTGATGCACTATCTACCGGAATACCTTCTATATTATATGTACTTATATAGTAAACCGACATTACGAGATGCACTGGCAGTCACACCTTCTGTGCTACATGTTTTATCGTAAGCGGAGATTACTTGATGCACTATCTACCGGAATACCTTCTATATTATATGTACTTATATAGTAAACCGACATTACGAGATGCACTGGCAGTCACACCTTCTGTGCTACATGTTTTATCGTAAGCGGAGATTACTTGATGCACTATCTACCGGAATACCTTCTATATTATATGTACTTATATAGTAAACCGACATTACGAGATGCACTGGCAGTCACACCTTCTGTGCCATATATGTCTATACTAAACAGACATAACGAAACGCACTAAATAAGAGCAAAGGTTTTATTTCAAGTATTTAAAGAGTCAAGGGTCATAACGAGCTGCACTTTCCGCCATATTTTCTATTTTAAATATTTTTATTGTACATGGAAATTACTAGCCGTACTATCTATGTAGTCAATTCCGCATACATCAAAAGAGACAATCCCACCAACCCATAGAGTTGCAAAAAAGAAATGGATGTCAACTGAAATTCTGTAGTTGGTGGATGAAATAAGGAAGAAAGAGAATGATAAAGAAGAATACTCTAGAATACAAAAAGAAATAGTGAACAAATGCAAAGTGGCTAAAGAAGCCTGGCTGAATCAAATGTGTACAGAGATTGGGGAAAAATTACAGGAAAGACTCACATTCCATGTACCAACAGATAAATATGTTAACAGGAAAGATGGCACGTAACAGCACTGGATGTTTGAAATCAAAAGATGGTGACTTATTAATGGGACATAGTAATATAATTAACAGATGGACAGAGTATATAGGGGAATTGTATGATGATAATAGACCAGATGTAGAACTGCAGACCAACAATGATGGTCTACCAATAATGACTGCAGAAGTTGAGAATGCAATACATCATATGAAGAAAGGAAAAGCACCCGGGCCAGACAACATCTCACTGGAAGAAATCGAAGCGCTGGGAGATTTTGGAATTGAAATAATAACTAAATTTTGAATGATATTTATAATAGTGAGTATATTCCGAATGACCTTTTAAAATCCATATTTATAGCTCTGCCTAAGAAACCAGGCACTTTAAAATG